GGAAAGACAATAAGGAGCTAATCATTTCTTTCTGAAAGTAATGATTCTTCCTGCCTTAAAAATTAAATTGTTGCTTCGTTCATTGACTACGTGACTAGAATGTACTTTTGAGAATGTTCCTTTCCACAATCAAAATATTTCCTGTTATACTTGGAAAGAACAAGAATATTTGGGTTTATTTATGTCTTAGAAATGATTTAAAGTAAGATGTTTTCTACATTTGAAAACGAATAAATATAGTTGGACCATTTATAAATAAGTGAGGACTCCCAGAAAATGATTAAAAAGCTGAGAATGCAGTTTTGTAACTTGTTCAACATCTAACTGTGGGATCCAAAATTATGTTGTCTGCCTAGTCCTTAATTATAATTCTGTGTACTGTGGCTTATCTAGGGTCGTGAGTAAGTTAAAGATTAGCTAATAAGGTCTTATTAGGGCAAAACTTTATATATTATAGCACAAAGTTAGAGAATTACATAAACATGCAGGTATTTGAAAATATGTATTACAGTTTATTGACAGCCCTGATCTGTACCATATCTTAACTTTATACTTCTTTTTCCTGGACTCGTCTCTTTTCTGGTTTTTGTTTGGTTGGTTTTTGTTTTTTAATACTTTCTGACTGACATTCACACATAAAACCTGGACATTTGAAGACTTTATTAATATGAATGTATATTAGTCATCTCAGGCTGCCATAATAAAATGCCATAGACTGGGTGGCTTGAAGTACAGAAATTAATTTTCTCACAGTTCTGGAAGGTGGAAGTTCAAGATCAGGGTGGTGCTCTGTGGTTGATTCTTGTGAAGACTCTCTTCCTGGGTTGAAAGATGGCTGCCTTCTCTCTGATCTTCACATGGCAGAGGCAGTGGAGGAGAGACAGCATTTGCAAGCTCTCTTCTTAAAAAGACGCTAATCCCATTGTATCAGGGCTTCATCCTTATGACCTTGTTTAACCTTAATTATCTCCTTATAGGCCCTATCTCCAAATACCATAACATTGGGGGTTAGAGTTTTAACATAG